CCCCCGCTAGAGAAGTCCTGGGGATTTCTCTGAAACTGCCCTCGGGGAGTTTTTAAAAACCCGTGTATTTTTGAAGGTGTTCCTGAGCTGGGTCTGCAGGAACCATGTGTACTGCAGAGTCTGCAACCCGGAGCTCCGTGGCTGCTTCTGGTCGTTTCTGATCATGTGCCTTTCTTCAACTTCAACAAAATGTTGGCTGGTTCCGGTGGGAGTATTTTCTGTGGGAATTCCGGTCTTGAGACTATGTTGATTGTCCTCAAATGATCTTCTGCTAGGGTTCCTCCTCTGGGGTGATCCTCTGGGCTGGAGGAAGTGGTTGCAGAAGGCTAATTATTATGGGCATCGGAGAGGCAGCAGCAGCCAGCGACTTTCTCCTGAGGTTCTCACTAGACAGCTGAGCCTCGTACTGCCGTTGTGAGTTTTCTTTAGAAGGGATTGCTCCTTTGCCCGTCTTTGCACTTCCCTCAGGGGGTTCTGTTTGAGTTAATAACCTGAGGTCTGCTTTCTGATCGTCTTTTTCTCTGCCACAACAACAACAACAACAGCAAAATGATGGCAAGATAGTTTCTTCCAAACACTGAGTGGACTCAGGGAAATTTGTTCGGAGCCGAGTCTGTCCTTTTGGGGTTCACTGATCCAGTGCCTTGCTTGCATTTTACTGAGCACTGCTGTGCGCACAGCCCCATGGTAGGCACTTGGGGAACACAAAAGCAAAGGAGGAAGGAAGGGCTTTGCCCTCAAGAAACTCATGTTTCAAAAGGAACTTAAGTTCTAGCTGCCTGGCCCTGTGGGAAAGTGTGATGGAGGAAGTGCTGAGATGTACCCCAGAGGGCACAGAGAGGAGCAACAACCATGCAGAGTAGTTCACATGATAAGCTGTTATTTGAATATAACCTTAATCCTCATTATAAGCCACGGAAGTGGCTTGAAGGTGAAGGCAGTAAAGAAAGAAATTAGAGGACTGCCAGAGTCCTCATAACTCTATGCAATATAAGATAACTGGATAAATATATTAATGTAACTTTCCAATGTCCCCCTACTAAGAGTCATCGTATCTTTCACAATATTTCTCAAACCTACTAGTTTATTTCAGACACTGAGTGAACTCATGGAAATTTGTTAGGAGCCAAATCTGTCATTTCTCACTCTACAAGGAAAAGAAATATGGCAGATCTACAATGTAGACTTTAACCACTTTTATTTTATTAAAACATAAATTTGTACAAATATAAAATATGCATAACCTTTTTATCTCTGTACTTTTATAAACTATAAAACCAAGAGACGTATAAATTAAGTAAAAACTTAAAAATCAATCACACTTGAACTAATGAGAAGACTTGGTTTCTCAAAGACCAAATCACCAACGTTGGGACCATTGTCAGGGGAAAGATACATTTGGGCTTTTCGTTTCAGTTGTGTTTGACTTGATTGTTGTGATTTTGCATCTAATAGCCCATCACAGGCATCTGTGGCATTATTGTGGTCACCATTTTTCCTTCTTAACAAATAGCATAAATTTTGTCTGTCGATTCATTGTTTTGATGAGCAAATTCATTCAATAGTGCGCCCCTAAATACAATGCCGAAGAGAACAGAGGTCCTTAAATGTACTCTGCCACTTTTCTATTTGTAAACTATCGTAAAACATTTGTTCTTAGAATGAATTGCGACATCTTTTATGCTTTATTTAGTATAAATACCTCATTTACTTTTCAAACCCATCTATTTTGTTTTCTCTTTAGCCTATGGCCACTTAGAGATACACTACTTAGCCTTACTTCAGCATCATCATTATGCAAATTAATGCTACAAAAGAAAAGCTTTGTGTTTTCGGTTGGTAAAGAATTGTGCATGAAGAGTAGACAAGGGTGGTTGTTATCATAGTTTCCATTAAGGCCTTTCCACAGACCTAAGGGCCTGGCCCTGACGCTTTGAAGTTAATCTCTGATCACTTGGCAGCAGCTGTCTTATAAATGCAAACATGGGAGCCAAAGTCACATGGCAGTGTTCAGTCATAAATGTCATGAGATTATCTAAAATATGCTTACCTCAATATCAGCAGTTTTGATTATCAAAGTGAAAACAAAATGTTTTAATTGTCCCAGAACTCAAAGATTTTGTCTGTAGATTTCTGGTAGACAAGAACACCAGTTTGAGAAATACTGGTCTATAGAATGTTGGTCAAATACCATAGGACAAAGAAGTAGTTCCCTTATTTTTTTGTTCATTTCTCAGAAAAGATTGGTGACATTTCTGAGTATAGCAGCTGACTTCTGTCTCGTTCTCAGCCTTGACCTGTCCCCTTCACCAATGCCTACTTTGTTTCTACCCTACAAGGCTTTAGAAAGGAGTTTATAGACTAGGAGTGGGCATCAGGCCTAAACAGAGTTCAGCTAACTGAAAGTAACTAAGTGTTTTCATGTGATAATAGGATTTCCCACTGACTTTCTCTCTTTCACGGTGCCATGAACTCTTTGCGAAAGGGACTGTAGTCTTATCATGTATTGGATTCCTGGTGTGTGATACCAGCCTCGCACATAGGAGGCACTCAGAAAATGTATGCTGAGAGAACGCATGAATATTAGTATAAGAAAGTACTTAGTGGCCTGATGTACATCAGATGACATGCTCCAGTGTCTTGTTCCTGGAAGCATATGACCCATAACTTGTCTCTGTGATGAGTTAGCTGGTCCTGCAGGAAGCTAGTCTCAGCCTGCCTCGGCTCTGTTGTTGCCTCAGGAATCAGGCGAGTGACCTTCACTGCTTAGGAGTTAATATCTGGAAAGTGATGAACAGTTTCCCACTTGGCACGTTTCCTTTGGTGTCTTGGCTGTTCTTTCCTCACCCTGTCACCCTTGTGATTCAGAACCATGATCTTTTCCTTATTCACGGGAAACACACAAGCCACAGTCCAGAGCATGAGATCCTTGTCATTGCCCCACCCTCTCTGGGTACCTCCAGGCAGAGAAGTGGGGGAGAGAGCTCAGCCTGTTTGCTTTCTGATTTTGATCTGTTTGCCTGGTTCACTGTGATGATAGACTAAGGAGATAGATTGTGTATTTGTTGGAGATAGATTTTGATTCTTTAAGATCAAAGTATAGTGTTACTGGCCCTTAAAGAGTACTTCTTTGTTTAAATTATTGTTTATTTTTTTCTCCAAGATAACTTTTCCTTGTTAGCTTTTTTAAACCAACTTTTATATTTCTTATCCAAAAAAAAAAAATCATTCACCAGATAATGGGCCTTGGTTTTCATCCTGTGCTTTAGACATGTGATTTGAACACTTGGGGGAAATGTTCTGATTGGTTGGAGCCTCCAAACTGAAATAGCGTTAAGCAGAGAGCTGGGCTTTCTTATACACATGTCTGCCATTGTGTGTGTGTGTGTGTGTATGTGTGTGCGTGTATATATATGTGTGTGTGTGTGTGTGTGTGTGTGTGTGTGTGTATTGCTACTGGTAGTGAAGGACAGACAAAACTGGCCATGCCAAAGGTTAGCTGCTTCATATGCTAACATGTTCTGTAAAATGGATCTAGCCAGAAGAAGCTGGGAACTGAACTGTTTATCTAGTGAGCTGTGTGGTTGAGAGAAAATCCAGTGACTTTCTGTGATTAGGGAATTTTTTTGTCTCAACAATTAAAACTCGCCTTCCACCTCATTGCCTTCAGGCCTCTACGTAGCTCAGAAGAGAATTTGGAATTTGGAAATGTAAATTGCAGTGGAATTTTACTAAAAAAGTAAACAGGGAAACAAAATGCTCTGTAGATAAGAACTAAATCTAAATAAATGCTTACATCTAAGTAAATGCTTAAATACTTGCTGTTTCATTGTATACTGGAATCTGAATACATTGTCATTAGTCCTTAAAGTAAGACATGCTTCTGTTGGCCCCAGTGCTCCTATCAAATGTAATGCTTTCAGTATCATAATTTATATTCTTATTTTTCCCCTCGTTTCATAAAAAAATAATATGGTTTGCTTTGAAATAGCCTGGGGTAAGTCAAGGGATACAACTAGGAAAAATTTTATTAAAATTGTATTAATATAAAGAATTGTAAACAGTAACATGACTCATGAAACAAACAAAACACCTGATGTTATCACATGTATCTGTAATAGAATGATGATAGAATAGCGCACATTGTGGTGTTGGATATGAGTTTGTATAAGCGTGTGTGCCTTACACAGGTAGACACAGAATCTGTCTCTCCAACTGTAGTAACTGGAAGTGTCTCACATTTTCAGTTATTTGAAAGAACCGTCTGCTCTTGTATTGAATATATAATGCATCGATGCTACCTGCTTCCAAGTAAGAATGTGCTCCTCACATATAATTTAAAGGTACTCTCTCAGGAATATAAATGACTATCCCTACACACTCACTATTTGAAATAACAGGGAATCAGCCTGAATGATCTACAGTTGATTAGATTCAAGCCCACAAGAGGCTTTAACTCAAAGCCGAGACTGTGTTTTCTTGGTTGAATGACACTACGACCTGTAGTAGGACTTGGGCAGCAAAATAGCAGGCAATAAAAGAATCTTTATATATATATATATATTTTATTGACTTTTTACAGAGAGGGTGTGAGAGAGATAGAAACATCGATGAGAGAGAAACATCGATCAGCTGCCTCCTGCACACCTCCCACTGGGGATGTGCCCGCAACCAAGGCACATGCCCTTGACTGGAATTGAACCTGGGACCTTTCAGTCCGCAGGCCGACGCTCTATCCACTGAGCCAAACCAGTTAGGGCCAATAAAAGAATCTTTCCCAGCATTAGGACTGGGTAATGTTGACCCCCGTGAGGTTGTCCTTGAAGGCAAAGACCATGTCTGCCTTGGATGTGTGTTCCTAGGGTGTCACACCGCAGCTGCTACATAATAGGCACCCCCAAAATCATGTGACCATCATTTAAAAAATTGGTGCCTAAATCACTGAGTTATGTCTCAAAAATCGACTACATAAATTGTGAACCGCTTCTTTGCTCGAACAGGGAGAAGATCCAATTTATTCGAACGGAAGGGACCCCAGGATTGGTGCGTCTTTCCAGTGATGCAGACCTTGTGATGTTGCTGAGGTAGGTGACGCTCATTCTTGAGCTAGAAAGGGTCTTATTATCAGGTGTCAGGAGCATTTTAGAAAATAATTTGACAGCACCCGGTAGCCTTTATTCTTGAGTTCTTGGGGGATGCTCACTTCCAGAGGTGGATGCTGGTGTAGTGGTCCTTCATTCCGGATCGCCGTTCCCATCACAGAGATGTCTGATTGGTTTTGCCCTGCTGGTCGAGGAGGTGGCATTAGAGCAGGGGAGGGTCTGTAGAGGCCAATACACGGAATGTCCCATTCACAGAATGGAGCAGAAGGGTAGATATAGCTTACCCCTTCAGCGAAGAAGAGGTCATGTTTGTATTTTCTTTCAGATTGTGTGTGTGTGTAAATTGTGCTCGGTCCCCTTTTGCTGATTCAGTAATGTTTATTTACTCTATGGTTTTGAAAGTTTAGGTCTGGGAAATCAGATCAAGTTGAAATTTGGTCTCTGGTCCTCACTTTCAACTTGATAGCCCTTCATAAAACCGACCAATTGTGTTTTCTTTGCTGTTGGTTAGAGTACCTTTGGTCTTAAATTTTAGAGTGGTTTCAAGGGGAAATAGCCAGATTTCCAAAGCTCTTTTTATTTTCAATATTACCCTTCAAATGGAGGAGGCCAGAGTAGAACAATGCTTGCTCCCCCCAGTGGTTGGGACACCCCACCAATGTGACCTCCATAGAATGAAAGGGCAAATCATGCTGAGCCATGTCAGTCAATATTTTATTTATCCCAGAGTGCTAACAATCTCATTCATGTTATTCATAATGATCTTGACCTGAACCATTTCTAACTGCCTACTTGATAGTTGCCATATTTTAAAAACTAAAGCCAAAGCGTTAGTTTCTTTTACTGGATTTTTGGAGCATAATTCATTGGGATATATTCACTTTCCATAAAGATTTCATTTCACTGGATTCTGAATAAGACCTATGGTAGAGGGGTTCCTTGACCGCAAGAGGGTGAGCCTTGCCCATGGTGTACTGAGCTAGTTCTGAAAATAGGACAGGCTATGCCAGACAGTCAGGAAGACGATTCGTCAATTAATATGGAGTATGGTGTTTCTTCCATAGTTTGGTTGGAAATATTTGGATGATCAAATGTGTTTATCATTTTAATAATGCAGTGACGCAGTGTATTAGTTGTGCTGCTTAATAAATGATCTTTAATGTTTACTGAAACTTTTGGGGATATCCTTAGCTCTTTACTTTTAATTTTACTTTGGAGTTAGAATAATTTGAAATAGTGACTGTGAACTCAAGCAACAGATTTGTTGCTAACAGGGGAAGACTGCCTGTTTTTATACTTTGTCTATTTCTTAAAAAGAGAAATCACTCCTGGTCCAGTGGACTTGATTATCAGCAGGCTGCAGTGTAGAGATAGATGGCACAGCTCTGGGAAATGATTCCATTCAAAAATAAAGCTGTGTCAGGCTATTTTCCAATAGAGATATCATGGAACCTGAGAGTTCTTAAATGACCTTGCTGCATCTGTTATTGATAATTCTAGTTCATATATTCTTGCACTAACTCAACTCATGTAAAAAAATGTTCCTCTGTTAGAGCTCATATAGGAAATGATTGATAAATTTGGCTACATTTGAATTTTAAAATTTACATAATGAAAGACACCATATATGAAGACATAAAGGTAACAAACTAGAAGAATATATTCATAAGACATAAAAATGATATCGTAAGTACATAAAGAATGCCTTTAAATTAATTTAAAAGAAAAATGGGTGAAGGCTAGAAAAAGGCATTTCATAGAAATTGAAGCAGCAATAGCCAGTACACTTATGGAAAGATGCTCACAGTCATAAATTGCAGTTTCAAATAATGAGATACTAGTTCACACTGTTTGATTTGAAAAAAAATCAGAAGCCTGATAATTCCAATTGAGAAATGGGGCCTCTTTTATTGCCTGGACGTGGTGGGATTGCCATTTCTAGACCCTCTTCGGAATACAGTTTGGCAATGTTATATATAGTTGAAAAGGCATCTGCATTATGACTGAGCAATTCTAATTTTAGATATGTTACCATGTTTACGCTAAGGAACTCTTTTACATATGCCCAAGGTGTTCACTGCACCATTATTGATAAAACCACAAAGTTGGGGAAAAGTAAATATTTGTCAAAGGAGATAGGGATAAATAAACTTGGTTCATAGAATGACCTGCTGCATAGCAGGTAAAAATAATAAACTACATCCTTATGCACAGACAAATCTCAGAATTATATTGTTGAACAAAATGTCCAAGGATGCTATGTACATATACCCATTGTAATTTTTAATGGTGCATTAGGCAAAGCTATATATTTTTTATCTGTGCCTATGTGTTGCTAAATATAAGACTATGGAAGGATACCTATTAAGGTCGTGAGAGAGAACAAAAGGCACTTCATATACATACTTGCATATACACATATATATACACATATATATATACACATATATATATACACACACACACACTCATATGCATATATATATATATATATATGTACGTAAATGTACACATAACACAGATGTACAAGTATGCATGCATGTTTGTCTGAAGTAAAAATAAAGCGCAGGTGTAGATTTCTGAGGAGAGGGTGCTAATCCCTACTCTACAATTACGTTAGCTAGGACTTTGTGGTAGCAACTGTTACGTGGGACTTCCCACTAGTGATTCCCTTTAAAATCACATTATTCAATGACTACTGACTTACTGAAAAAGAGAAATGGCCATTTCAGGGCTTAATTAGGCATTAAACATATGATTACTTACCGCTTCTGTTCCCAAACCTTCTGACTTCTATAGTTTAAAAGTGGAAAGATGGCTTTAAAAATATCTTGTTTAAAAGTGCCTTTGCTACAGTGGCTGGTCCCACAGATGTGTGCATGTGGATGAAGAAGGACAGAAAGGCTATCGAGTTGTCATTGCTACCACCCGGGGTTTCCCAGCCTCGGAAATGTAGCCGCTGTGGGCTGGATATGCCTTTGTGACAGGGAGCTAGTCTGTGCGTTGTGAGATGTTTATCGGCATCCTGGCCTCTACCCACCAGAGACCAGAAGCACCCCCTCTCCCAGTTATGGCAACCAAAACGGCCTCCAGCATCACTCAGAGTCCTCGGATGGTGTGGGGAAGGGCAGCCTTGCTGGGCTCAGAAGCAGTGCCTTGGGGTACCTTTCCTTAAACCCCTACAAGGTTAAACTCTTGCCTCTTTTTCTGAATGTCTTCTGGAAACAAGGAGCAGGTTTTAGATTTGGCCAAGTATAAAGGAAACCTACTTCCACCTCTTAATTAAAAAACTCTTTATGGTTGTTTTCATTCTATTTTAAGTGTTTGTTTGAGTTAGTGCAGTGGTCGGCAAACTGCGGCCCCTTGAGTGTGGCTCTTCCACAAAATATCACGTGCGGGCGCACACGTACAGTGCGATTGAAACTTCGTGGCCACACTCAAGGGGCCAAAGAGCCGCATGTGGCTCTCGAGCCGCAGTTTGCCGACCACTGAGTTAGTGCAATCAATACTGCTTTTCCTTATCATCATCTGTATGATATGGGATTCCAGGATACCAGATATCTGCTGACTGGCTTTTAGAAGACTAGTGGAAACAGCAGATACGGGGTTGGGTAATCTAACATCAAAACCCTCACATTGGAAAACCATTATGAAGCTAGGGGGCTGATTATTTAGGAGCTATTTTGTTTTCTCTTGCTTTTAACGCTCCTTTTAAGTCCTGAGCTTCGAAGGCTGAGAGCCGCTGTCTGTCTCTCAGATGAAGCTGTGACACATGCTTCGTGTATCCAGAAGGGGCTCTCAGTAGATGTCTGTTGTGTTGGAATCTTATTCCCAAATTAAAACACCCAGGTTCTCTTGCACACGAACATGTGAACTCACACTCACACATTAAAGTGGCAAAACAGAAACGACATTGTCCGACGTCGGTAGGAAAACAGACAAGTAGCCACAGGTTCCTCAGGAGCGGCCGCAGCAGCCAGTCTGTGCGGGGACTGGCCAGCGGGCAGAGGGACAGCGCTCCCCGTGGGACGTGGGACGGGGACGAGACCTCGGGTGGGGCGGGCCAGGAGGAGAGAGTGACTGTCTTAGCTGGAAACACGGCTTTTCCCCCACCTCGTTGGCTAAAGTGCGCATTTTGTTTCTTGTTTTTCCCCAGTTTATTTGAAGAAGAGATAATGTCTTATGTGCCTCCACATGCCTTACTCCACCCCAGCTACTGTCAGTCCCCGCGCGGCTCCCCTGTGTCCTCTCCCCAGAACTCGCCAGGTGAGTCCACCTGCAGCTCCCGGGTTCTCCGAGGAGCGAGCCCTAAGTCAGAGGTTGTGTTCTACGTCGGGGCCAGTGCAGGGACATTCGGGTGCATCTTAGGGCCAGCCCGGGTGCATGCCACATGGCACGCTCTGTCCTCTGGAACTGGCTTGTCTCCCGGGGATTCATGCTGACAGGAAGGTAATGACATTCCGGAATAGCAAGGTAAAGGCTCGCCGTGCGGCCTAGTCAGAGACAGAACTTACTCTTCATTCGGCGGTGCCCAATATGCCTTGGAAAACGTTAGGGCACAGAATACTGTCTTAGCTTTTTGCATTTAAAAGGTTTTAGTTAGGAGGCTGCTTCAAGGAATAATAAAAAGAAATCTCTACTTTCGAGAAATAATAGAGAATTGAAGCTGGTCAGCTTCAGGGACTTGGAGAGTTTTCCCTGCAGTAGTCACTGCCTGCGCTGCATGGGACAGCGAAGGACGCGTGGGCAGACAGAACGTGTGACCGATGAAACAAACGAACATGTTTAAGTTCAAATTCCTTTTGAAGGAGGTATGTTGTGAATGAAGGAGTGACTGGATGAATGAAGGAGTGACTGGATGAATGAAGGAGTGAATGGATAGATGAGCAAATGAATGAATGAATGAATGAATGAATGAATGAATGGTAGAAAATGCAGCTTAGCAAATGAGTGTTTTTTAAAGGTGGGTAGTCATGATGTTGTAAATCAGCTGTATTATCCTCATTATAGGCAATGCATTGTTCACACTTTAACAGCTTTCAGAATTTAAAACTGTTACTAGGAATCCACACTCCATATGTATTACGAAGAGCTGCTCTGTGTTCGTTGATATGTAACATGTGTTTTCACATATTGTTGTGATAATGAAGCTACAGCCGACTTGAATACCTCAAACAGGAAAAGGTTCATTTACCGCGGATTTATTGAGCATCATCTATGAGCCAAGCACTGGTGCTACAACGATGAATAACACACTCTCTGCCTTTGAAGGATTCATAGTGGGCCAGTGAGTCAACAAATGACTCTGTAAAGCTCTGTGGTCTGTCCTGTATTGAAGAATGTGTGGGAACACCGATGTGGGAACACGTCTTCCCTTAAGACTAGGGGTGGGGTGTTTAGGGAAAGATGAAGGTACCAGGTATGAAGGGGGGCCCTGAAGAACGATGATGGGAGTTTACCAGGGAGACCAAAGGAAGAAGGGCCTTCATGGCACCGAAGCATGAAAACAGTTTAGGGCAAATGGATAGGGCAACGTGAAGGCAAGTTCCCAGAGCTCAGACTGGAAGATAGACTAGGGCAGTGATGGCGAACCTTTTGAGCTCGGCGTGCCAGCATTTTGGAAAACCCTAACTTAACTCTGGTGCCGTGTCATATATAGAAATTTTTTGATCTTTGCAACCATAGTAAAACAAAGACTTATATTTTTGATATTTATTTTATATATTTAAATGCCATTTAACAAAGAAAACTCAACCAAAAAAATGAGTTCGCGTGTCACCTCTGACACGCATGTCATAGGTTCACCATCACTGGACTAGGGCCTGTGGGTCATCGATGCCTTACCTTGTAGTCCATGTGCAGCCCCTAAAAATCTATAAACAGAGGAACGTCCTGTTTTACAAAGACCAGTTTGGTGGCGAGACAGAGGATGGATTAGATAATGAGAGACTAGAATCAGAGAAACTGTTTGGAAGGCTGTTGTGTTAACCCAGGTGACATGCTAAAGAGCTGGACTGGTGACGATAGAGAAAAGGGAATTAATTCGAAAGACACGTAGGAGGTGGAGATACCAGGACTTTGAGTTCAGGTAAGGAAGATTCTGAGGTCCCAGCACCCAGATTGCTAGGCAGACGGTAACCCCATTTACCCAGAAAGGAAAAGGATTGGACTGGAGGGGAGCGGAGATGAGTTTGGTTTGGACATGTTTCCTGAGGAATCTTCGGAGATATCCAGGCACAACTGGAGAAGACCGCCATGGAGCTCCGGAGAAGCTGGCTGGGAACACAGGTGTGCAGGTGGCAGCGGGACCCAGCATGAGGGGAGAGGAACGAGGGAAGACAAGTCTATGGAAAGAAGGGAAAGGAGGGATGGTCACATGAGAAACCCATGTTTCAGTGATGGGCGGAGAGAGAGAGCGCAGGGGAGAGAGCCAAAGGATTTTGGAACAGAATTAGGAAAGTCTTTTCAGGGAAGCCAGGTTTCAAGGAGGAGGGAGCGGTTAACCGGGCCACATCTTCAAAGGAGTCATGAAGGATGAGTCTGAGAAGAGGCCGTTAAATTGGAAATTTATGAAATTGGGTATGGCCTTTGCCAGGGCAGTTTCCATGAAACCATCGGTCACAGACTGGAATGTGACCGGTGACAGAATGATAGAGGATGTCAGGTGGAAGCCAGGAGGGTAGACTATTGTTTTCACCAAGTGTGAAAGGAGAGAAAAATAGGACAGTACCTGGAAGGAGAAGCGGCGTTCAGGAGGGGGTTTTGGGGAAAGCTGAGCGTCTGTGTGTCAGGCACACACAGGTCAAACGATGTGGGTGGGAAGAGAGTGGCCCCTCGAATGGGGTGGAGCAGCAGGCGGCACAGCCCAGGCCGGGGGCAGGCAGGACCCTGGGGGCCCAAGCACAGGTCAGCTTGGGAACAGAGCAGGGACACCAGTTTGGACGAGACAGGTTGGGAAGACAGAAGTAGGTGACACAACAGGTAAGTTTCAATGTTACATAGACGTTTGATGCCAACGTCCAGGGGAGAAATTGCTGTCATTCACAGCTGGCCTTCGTCTTTGTCAACCATGTGTGACGTTGGGCGATCCACTCCTCCCTGGCCTTGAATTTCTGTCCTGTAAAATGGGAATAATAGTGGTCGCCTCCCCTGGTTACTCGGAGGAAACCTCGCTGGAGAACACCATCCCAAGCATCCAGTGCATATTCGTTTATTCCTTTTTTTTTTCTTTTTGGAAATAGGATCCTGAAAAGTAGCATTTGTCAATATTTGAGCCATTAATAACTGCAGCATATCAACCCATTTCTTCCTGATGGGCAGGGCCGGCCGCCTAAATAGTTAATCATTCTGACGGGTCTTTATCGTCGCTGGGGCCCAGGGTGGCGCTCAGTTGGGTTGTCCCTCTCCGGGTGCTTCGTGGGTACAGAAATGAAGCCGTGCGGGTTGTCACTGATTCCAGCCAACGTTCTCCTCCCAGGCCTTTGCTGAGGCACCCTCCCCAGAAAAGGTAGATCTCGGGGTGTCCCTCTGAACCCCCTCCCCGGAGGCGCAGGCCAGGAGACTGGCCAAGCATCTCGAGGCTCGTGTGGACATGCGATGTGATGCCTCTATCGATCACTTCATTTCATCGCCCCTCACCATGGCCATGAGGAGCCCCTGGTGGGACTAGCACGCCTCCTGGAAGCAGGTGTGGGATTACGTTCCAAAGACGAAGAGAACCCAGGCAGAACCCCCTTGCCAGCAGTGCTAGTGGCGGCTGTAACCCAGGGAGAACCGTCCCCATGCTCTGGCCCCCCGGGGTCCAGTGGGTGTGGTTGGTCCCTACAGTCGGCTGCACTGCCCGGCCCGTGGGGTCACTAACTGATGCCACGTGATCCACAGGGGGACCCGCTGGCCGCCTTCCTCCTGTTCCTCCAGGTGAAAGAGCCTCTCCTTCTACCGGTGTTTCCCAAGTTTTCGTGAAAACACTTCCGAGGGGTTCTGAGAGGCTGTCTGGTCCTCCTTGCGACTAGAACGCCACCCCCTGAGGGTGTGGGGATGATGTTGTGAAAATCACAATGATCATGAATTTTAATGATCTTCTCGGAGCCCTAGGACCCCGTCAGCTGTCCATGTTTCCTTATCTGAGCTCGGGACAGTCCAGGGCAGCGGGGAGGGGCTCCGCCAGCGGGGACTCGCTGCTCTTTAGCTGTGAGAGCGCTGCTGAACACCTGTCCCCATGTTGGAGCGGGAAGCTTGGCTTTCCTGGGACCTTAGACACCAGTCCCAGCCTTCGCGCCCTCCGCCCCAAGGCAGAGCCCTTCCCAAGCACCGTATGGTTTGTGATGTCCGATCCGGGCCCAGGAGGAGACTGAGGGGCCGTAGGAGGCTGGGCATTTCTAGGAACTTAGATGCAGCAAATCCCCCATTTAACGAATACTGTGGGAGGCGTGCTCACGCCTGTGAACGTTCCCGTCACCTAAGCTCTGAGTGCACGAGGCACTTGGCTGTTTGAGGGACCGTCGCACGGCGCTGGCGGTCCTTGGCCAGACCTGGGCCATCTGGAAGCAACAGCAGCCCAGGTCACAGGCAACCAGAGAGCACTGAGGAGCCACGTGGGTCTTTTCTGGAGCTCGTCTTGAGGGCCTGGGGTGGGAGAGGGAATGATTTCTCCGACCCCATGGGGGATTCTCTCGTCCTCTCTCTTTCTGAAGTCTTAGCATCTTGGCTGCTGCTCATCTCATCGCCTGTTCTTCCCACAAACATCCTGTCTGTCTCTCTCCCTCCTTTCCTCTCTAATCCCCTCTCCCTTCCCCCATCACCTCACTCTCCCTGGAGTCGCTCTGCACTTGTTCTAGAAATGGGGTTCCACCCCTTCTCTTTACTCTGCCCCCCCAGGTGATCTGGGAACCAGATGGTACAACTGTAGGTGTCCCTTGTGGGGGATGGGGACCTGTGGTTCCAGAAACAAGGGGAAGGGAAGCCGAGTATGTCGGTCACAGCTAAGAGGTGGTGGTGGTGGTTGTCGCTCGTCTCCCTGTCCCCCACCCCAGTCCTCTCAGGGGTGCCTGTCACTGGCATGCCCTTTTGCTCTCCCCTTTTAAAATCCACCCTGGTCTGAGAGGCCAGACTATCCAAGGGTTTTTTTAAAAAAACAAATAGTATGTAAATGAAAGCATGAGCCGGCTCAAAACAATGACCTGAAGGCCTGTTCCTCTTGGGGAATAAAGCAAAAATGTGAAGACTGCAGTGTCTGTGCTTCTAGCCAGCTAGTCTGGAGGTGTGAGTGTGTGAATGTGTGTGTGTTTGTGTGTGTGTCTGTGTGTGCGTGTGGTTTTCCCTGTAAATTTCCATTGCGGAGCTATGTTCCAGAAGATGGAGTTGCCCAGAAATTACTGCACAGCTTGATAGTCTGTTCTCATTCACTGACAGAATTTTTTGAAAATGTCATAGAGATTTTTTTTTTTTTTAGAAAGTGAACCAGGGTAGGAATGAGCTCTGAGCCATCCCCATACAGCGGCCTGGGGCCACGCGGGACCAGGCTGAGCTCGCTCCCCATCCAGGGCTGCTAGTCCTCAAGGCAGCCGGGGTTCCTGGGGGCACATCCGGATAATCAGAAGGGACCCAGGCTTCTTAGAAGTTTGATGCAGAGATTTTCCTGGTATCACCCCAGGGATTTTTTCAGGTGGAATCCTGGAGTTGCTATGTGATGATGCAGGTTTGTAACAGTACGTAGAAATAGGGCGGCACTAGATGGAGGGACTGTAGGTCTGCCAGGAATGGTAAAGAAAAAAGAACCCTACTGTCTGTTACTGAAATTTCTTCCTGCAAATAATTGATGTAGCGCTGACTACCCTATGAAGTCACCCTTCATTGGGTCACTTCCTGAATGTAACAGCGTCCTCTCTGAGTCTGACTTCCCTGTTCAAGTCCGTAAAGACCGTGAAGTCGCTCTGGGTCGGAGCCTTGGATCCTGGAGCCTCGCGGGGAGCTGTGGCCGCGCAGTGCCGCTCACTCCGCTCCCAGAAAGATCATGTTTTATTTCCACAGCGGAAGTACCGGCGCTCCTGCCCTGGAATTTCTTGGCAGTTGCACCTGACGTGCATTAGGAGTCTGACAAGGGCCAGCGGCCTAATTCCCTGTAATTTCTAAGCCGTGAAGTAATGGGTAAATGGTTTTTTCATGATAGAACTATTAGCGGAAGCATTTCTTGCCTTTAACGACGTCTGTCCCCAGAGTTTCAGTAATTGAGTCACTTCGGCTGGAGCATCAGTGGAGTCAGAGCTGTTTTATTGAGGCCCGTGTTGGTGCTGATGAGTGCATTATGGGACTCCCCACATTCTCGTAAGCATCTCAGGTTATGCCAGCAGCATAAGATGGGCTGTGGTGTTTCTGTTTAAGGAATGAACTCCTAAAGAATCACGTTTCTTTTGAGCCTGGATGATTTTCATGTGGTGCTGTGTTCTTCCTTTCCTCTTCCACGATCATGCTCTCGAACACGGATTCATGAGTCTGCTCCGAGCTGTCTGGGTTTACTGGCCGGCTTTTCTCAGCCGGCAGCACTGACAGCCTCATGCTGCACCCCTGAGTGGGCTTGGGGCACGTGCTGCCCTGTCCCTGGGCGTCCAGGAGTGTCGGTCCCTGGATGCAGATGCTGCCCAGGTGTTTTGTGGATACCTTTGCCCTCCCAGGCGGGGAGGGGGTGGCGGATAATGGTCCTCAAGCTTGGAGTTGGTGGAGAGCCCTATAAAACACTGAGCCAGGCCACACCCCCAGGAGTCTGATGTCGTGTCTTGGGTGTGGCCTGGCCAGGGAGGTTTTTAAGCTTCCCAGGTGATCTAATGTGCAGCCGAGCTGTGGGGACCACTGCCAAGGAGTCCCTTCTGCATCCCAGACACTTAGGTCGAGGTTATTGGTTTTCTTTGTGACACAGCTCTTAGCTCTGTGGGTAAGAGTCATAGCTATGCAGACAGACCTCTGGGCATATCGATGATCAATAGCAGTGTGACTGACACCCGTTCCTAAGCCCCAGCGCAGGCCCCGGGCCCTCGGTGCCCAGCCCCATGCAGACAGTGGCAGGCACCAGCCTCCCTCCCCACACCCCGCCCACCAGCCTCCCTCCCCACACCCCGCCCACCAGCCTCCCTCCCCACACCCCGCCCACCAGCCTCCCTTCCCATGCTGCTTTGGGTATCAGACCTGGCTCAGACCCCACACCCACCATTCACTGGCATGTGACTTCCGTTGCCTTAGTTACAGTGGTGATGGTGGGAAGGGTAACAATGCCTGCTCCCTAGACTTGGGAGGACTCGCCAGGATTCTCTATGCAAAGCGCCTGGTCCCTAAGGCATAGCAGGCACCTAACCAGCAAAGGGCAGTGGTATTGTTCTAACAACTTTATTTATTTTTTAAATGTTTTTATTGATTTCAGAGAGGAAGGGAGAGGGAGAGAGAGAGAGAAAAGAAACATCAATGGTACGAGAGAATCACTGATCGGCTGCCTCCTGCATGCCCCCCACTGGGGATCGAGCCTGCAACCCGGGCATGTGGCCTGACCTATAATCCAACTGTGACCTCCTGGTTCATATAGGTCAATGCTCAACCCCTGAGCCACACAGGCCGGGCCTAAAAACGTTGTATTAGCACGAGAGTTCCTGCTTCTCTCCTTCCCTGCTGGTACCCATTCTCATTTCACATGGCACATGTTCCCCTCCGTCCCCACCCTTCAGCCAGGCTCACCGTGCCTCAGGCCTCCATGCAACTGCTCCTAACGGGCCTCCACCCCATCTTCTCTCCTTGCCACCCTGCCTCCCACTGCTCACTGCATCGGGCCCAGGCTCCTCAGCCGTGTTTTCAATTCCTCTCATAGTTTGGCTCCAACCTTCCACTGCTTTCCCTCCCCACTCACTCCCCCGAGCTCCCCTCTGCTCTGTGAGCGGGTCTCCCCGTGTCTGCTGACCACGCTCACAGGGCTTATTGAACTCAAGCTGCCGCCGTAGAGGACAGATCTCCGGGGTAAAGGCCTGGCTCCCTTGTCTTCCCCTTTGTTCTCTGTCATCCTCATTCACTGTCCCTTTCCCATAACCCTGATCTCAGTGCGCATCCCGCGGCCAGGCAGCTGTGCCAGTGTGTGGCTGTGGCACCGTGGAGCGCACGCTTCCTCTGATGGAGCAGCGGCCCGCCTAGCCCCAGGAGAGTGCACGCCAGCGGCTGCAGGAGCTCCCGACATTGTCCGGAGGAAATACGGATTTTTTTACTTGAAATCTCCTCATTTTTAAATGCTGAAAAGTTAATTTAAAATCTTTAAAAATGATTTTAATGCAAACAAGATGGATCACTAGGTCTGGGTCCAGCTCCAGGGCCATAGTCCTGTCCTCTGCTTTATAGTTGGCACGCCATCGAGGTTAGGACTTAATCACGTGTTCTCCAATTGTTGGACAGGTTTTATTGCTGACTTCCCAGCCACGGTGCCCACTTTGGGAACCCTGTCTGACTCATTGTGAGCTTCCCTTGCTGAATCTAACATGGTATTAGCAATGAATGACCACCACTGAGCTGATTCATTCATCAAAGAAATACTTAATGGGCTTACTCTGGTGCAGCATGTCTGTTTTCTGGTTTCTCTCATTGTGTTGTGAAATCTCTGGTGGAAATTTCCAGTGTTCTTGTCAGGGCCCTGACTCCCATTTTCATCACCGATTCTGTATCCCGGCGTGTTGGTTAGATACCTTCAGACCCAAAGCCAGAGTTTTCTATGGAAAGAGGAACTGTTACTTCTACATTTTATTAATGATACTTGTCATATGATGAGATGTTTTTTTAAAAAATCTTTAGGTAATCTGCAGATAATCACAGTACGTGGCACATATTAAGAGAAGCAGGGGCTGTGTGGAGGTGGGCAAAGGTGGGGGGAAACGGGGGACATCTGTAACAGTGTCAACAATAAAAGCAATAAATACGTTCACATTGTTATGCAAAAAAAGAATGCAACAAAGGCAGTCTTATTTACTCTGTGCAACCAGGAGACGTGCCTTCAGCAGTTATGTCTGAATCCTGTTTTTACATCCAGATTATTCTACCCTGCGGCATCAAATGCGTGCAATTATGCGTCTGAAGCAATTCCTAGTTAGGGTGCATACCCAAAAGAAGTTTCGTAGGTTTTCCATGGAGTGAAGGATGGGAACTCACTGCTCTTGCTGTAGACACCGCATACTTTTCACATGATAACTTCCTGTCTAATTGCCATGATATCATCTCAGCAGCCAGCAAAGATATTCCGCCCTCCAGTCAGCACTGGGCATGAGTAATCCAGCTTGGCTTGCAGCAGCTTGGGCTGAAAGGGGAACATATTTGACGAACACATGGCACCATCATAACTACCCAAACGGCTTTGTTCTTTTCGACCAGCATGCCACCAAGAAACGCAGGGGCTGTTGGGGTGGGGAAGGGTGGGGGGGAAGGGGGACATCCGTAACAGTGTCAACAATAAAAGAAGTCAATACATTCACATGGTTCTGCAAAAGAAAAAGAATGCAACAAGTGGCAGTGTTGTTTGCGTAAGCTCTATGCAGCCTTTAACCTGGAGAGTGGGAAGCTGCAGGAGCTGAACGCGTTGATGGCCCCCTTTCACATGTTCCCTCCGGTCTCAGCTCTGATGATGTGTGTTCATGGTGACATGATGCAAAGCCAACCCTCTCTCTCTGTGGTTTGCTGTAGGTACGCAGCGTGCCAATGCCCGGGCACCAGCCCCTTACAAGCGAGACTTTGAAGCCAAGCTGAGGAACTTTTACAGGAAGTTGGAGACTAAAGGATACGGACAAGGCCCAGGGAAATTAAAGTAAGTCAGAGCGAAACCAGCACAGGGTCTGCTGATGATGAGAGGATGGGGTGCAACTGGGCGTGGTTTGGGGCGGACGACCACCTTGATTTTAGTCGGTGGAATTATTTTGGTGTCTGTACGTGGCAGCACCATACATAACACGGTTCTGGCATTGAGCACAATTAAGCTTAAGGTTTTAAAGCAAACAGTGTAGAAACGACCACATTCCATGTAAAAAATGTTAAGGAAAAGTACGAGCTGCCCAGTGGTTGAGCACCGACCTATGAACCAGGAGGTCACGGTTCGATTCCCGGTCAGGGCACAGGCCCGGGGTGCAGGCTCGATCCCCAGTGGGGGGCGTGCTGGAGGCAGCCGATCCATGACTGTCTCTCATCGTTGATGTTTCTCTCTCTCTCTTCCATTCTGACATCAATAAAACTGTATTTAAAAAATGATAATAATAAAATTTTAAAAATGACAAGCTGATTTACTTTTTCCCCTGAAAAGGACCTCTGTTGGCTCAGCGTGGACTCGTTGGCTCTGAGGCTGTCACGATGTCCTGCATCGCTCAGCACTGTCTCTGAGCCGACCCGAGTGCGGGCACCATGCTCAGCCATGTCGCTCTGTGAACTCAACTTCACTTGTCCGACGGCGCACCTCGTGAACGTTGTTTCTGCCTGTCTTCCTTCACCTCCATTTAAATGGGAAAATGGAAGCGGCCTCACGATGAGTGGGCAGATGCTCATTCTCTACGTGCCCCCCTGCCCTAATCCCCCCCGCAGCCTGCGCCAGGGCCTCACCGAGGTCACGTGCCCCCTGAGAGAGGACACGGGAGGGAGGGTCGCTACTGCAGTCCCACCACGTTCCGGATACCCGAGAAAGGGTCCAGGGGGCAGCCCACAGCCCACGGCTCGCCACCCCCCAGGAGGGCTCACTTGGCTAAGTTAGCCGGTCCACTTCCCTCACCTCAGAAAACACCAGCCCCTCCAACACCATGCCTCAGAGCCTTCTCTCCTGATGTTTCTCTTACGAAGCTCTTGATCTAGCTTTCATCCCTTAGCCTCCACATTACCTCCCTTTCCATGGCTATTGTCACTACAGGCAAATTGGTATGTGCTCAGGGATGACTTCAACTGTCATTAGGACAAGTGGGTTCATGGGCCACGCGTATCAGTCGTTTGTATCTGTCACTTAGGGAATCTCAAGATTCCCTTAATTTAAAAATTAAGTCAAGCACAGTGTCCTCCTCTGCCTGGGAGGACACTGAGAATTTTTTTCCTTTTGTTCTCACGGTCAATTCTCTAGGCACTTTAGTACCTCAATTCCTTGTCTAGGGGCACTCGGGCTCCAACCATGACCTTCTGGGGCTGTTCTTCCTTTACTCAGCACAGGGTTGTGCCTGTGATGTTGCCCATTATCCTTGGATAGATGGACTTGACCACTCAGAGGGCCTCTCGGTGTTCGCAGGTCATAGGTGGGGTGCCCCGTTGATCAGCGCTCCTCTTACGCAGCAGTTGCTGGCAGAGAGCGAAGGCATGAAGTCACTCCTTTTTGCCTCGTTAGTTATGGTAAATGGAAATGAAATGGCAAGCGCCCAGTCCTAGAAAGATAAGGATTAGGCAATAACCTTTTTTATTTTTTTTCAAATTGTCTCCTTCTGGACAGGTTAATCATCAGAAGAGATCACTTACTCGAAGATGCTTTTAATCAGATCATGGCCTACTCCCGAAAAGACCTGCAGAGAAATAAGCTGTACGTCACCTTCGTCGGGGAGGAAGGGTGAGTGGCACAGAGAAGTGGCCCGGGGAGCGCAGGCTGGGCTGCAGGGCGGTGTCTCACCACATCCTCGCTGCGGTCGCCTGAAACAGGAAACCCTTCTGGCAGGAAATGCCGCTCTCATACACTGAAATCTCGTGGCTTTTTTTTTTAAAGTCCTCTGGTTTTTAAATTATTTGGCATAGAAATTCTTTGGTAAAAACTTATAACTCTTAAGCATTTTTGAGAGCAGCGTTTGGTCTCTTCTCTAATTCTCTCCTAAAGGGAAGTGTGGACTTTGAGGGGGTAAACACCAAGGAATTGCTTTTTGTTACCTACCCTGGGTGCCCAGCAGAACATGCTTTGCCTGGTAAATAAATTCCGTTTCAGCATCACGCATTGGAATTCTGCTCTTTTACTCAGAAGCCTCCGCAGCAGTAACTGTTGGGTCTTGGTTCTTACTGTTCTCTCCTTTGAGAGGGCAGCACACCTACCGAGATGGCTGCCTGCCGTAAGCAAAGGTCTCCAACCTTCCACGACTCTTGCCTGAGTGGGCTCATGTAGATAAGGGTCAGGGAATGAGGAGTGAAGACTCGCACTGTCTTCATTGCATCCGGGTAGACATGGCAGCTGTTACATAGCACATGAGAGATGACAGCTCTCCTGTCTGCCAGGCCCCTTCCTCTTTCCCCATTTCAGGGCAGGGTTTCGAGTTCCAGCACCTCCAGTGTAACCCAGCCATCGCTACAGTGAAGTAAACAAAACCCCACACCGTTGCCTGAACTCTGGTTGTCTTCTCCTTGATTGTATTGATTTGGATTATTTCCCTCTCAGTCATGCCCAGGAATAAACTGTGTTAGATTATGGAACCATAGGCGTAATAGCCAACAAATTAAACCATCCAGTATATGGTTCATGAAATGGAGGCTTCAATGTATAAAATAACTGCATGTCCCAGTGGAACCAGTTTATAGCAAAATTGAGATTCACAACCAGGTCTTAGTTCTTCATTCAGTCCTCTTGGCCCAACGCTGGGATGCAGGCAAAACTCCTGCACTCTGGTCTGTCTGCATGTCTTTCCTACTCATGGATCTTTCCACCATTTCAACTAGTGCCTGGTAACGTCCGCTCTTCACGTGCGCTGTTGTATAGTCTCCCTGCTGAGACTCGGTGAAAGGGAAACCTTCCGTGGGAAAAGAGCATACTGTGACCAAGTCGCACAGAAGCTGCCTGAGACCTGAGCCCTTCATCCCTGACGTGCCCCAGTGGATTTCTCGCGTCCGTTCGTTGGCTTAGAGATGCAGGTGCACAGTTGAAAATGCAGACAAATGTTTTTAGCCTCATCACAGGTATGCATGGGATGCCAGGTATTTCCTGGCAGAGTCAGCCTGGTTTGAATGAGAACACTTCTCCTCCCCCAGAGCGCCAGCTGCCTTCCTTCATGGTTGAGATCTCAGAGATGCAGGGAAGAGTCTTGGGGAGCCCTGGGACTTCAGTGTGAACGGAACAGGTGCTTGTGATGTTGGGTCATCCTCATGCGGCCTCCCTGGGATCCAGACTGATGACATCTGCTCCTGGGAGGAGGCCCAGGCTGAGTGGGCCTGATGACTCTGTGTTTGATCGCCACAAATGTCCAAATGCTTCCTGCTTCTATCGCCTGTCTTCCACTTATAACCCCAGAGGGAAAATAAGAGGAGACATTGAGGTGTGAATTTCAGTCATCAGAAACAATCTCTTAACTTTGTGATTGCCAGAATGGCACAAACAACAGTGAATGACAGGACATTGTCCCGTGTGGGGACAGGAAGTGTAGAAGGATATATGAGAAGTAGGGACTTCCAAAGAGGCAACAATATGCCATTTGAATGGCCAAAGATGCAAAAGACCCGTAATCAGAAAATCATAAGACACTGAAGAAAGATAATTGAAGAAGATACAAATAAGTGGAAGCATACACCATGTTCATGGATAGGAAGAATTAACATAATTAAATGTCCATACTACCCAAAGCAATCTATAGATTCAACGCAATTCCTATGAAGATACCAATGGTATATTTCACGGACCTAGAATATTCCAAAAATTAATATGGAACCACAAAAGACCTGAATAGCCATAGCAATCTTCAGAAAGAACAAAGTTGGAGTAAATCATGCTATGATATCAAACTCTACTACAAGGCCATAATAATCAAAATAGCCTGGTACTGGCATAAACATAGACATATACGTCAATAGAACAGAATAGAGAGTCCAGAAGTAAACCCACGCCTTTATGGCCAATTATTTATTAACAAAGGAGGCAAAAACATACAATGAGGTAAAGATAGTCTATTCAATAAATGGTGTTGAGAAAATTGGATAGATACATGCAAAACAATGAAACTAGACCATCTTCTTACACCATATACAAGAATAAACTAAAAATGGATTAAAGACTTAAATGTAAGACTTGAAACCATAAAAACCATAGAAGAACACATAGGCAGTAAAATCATTGGACATTTTTCTTAGCAATATTTTTTTCTGATATATCTCCTGCAACAAGAGAAACAAAAGAAAAAATAAACAATTGTGACTACATCACACTAAAAAGCTTTTGTACAGTGAAGGAAACGATCAACAAAAAGACAACCCTACTGAATGAGAGAACACATTCACCAATGATACATCTGATAAGGGGTTAATATCCAAAATTTATAAAGAACTTATATGACTGAAGACCCAAAATACAAGCAATCTTTTAAAAAAAATGGGCAAATGACCTGAATAGAGACTTCTCCAAAGAGGACATACAGGTGGCCAGTAGACATATGAAAAGATGCTCAACATCACTAATCATCAGAGAAATGCAAATTAAAACCACAATGAGATGTCACTTCACACCTGTCAGGATGGCTGTCATCAATAAATCAACGAACAAGTGCTGGTGAGGATGTGGAGAAAAGGGAACCCTAGTGCACTGCTGCTGGGAATGCACACTGGTGCAGCCACTGTGGAAGACAACATGGAGGATCCTCAAAAAATAAAAAATGGAACTGCCTTATGATCCAGTGATTCCACTTCAGGGAATATATCTCAAGAAACCTGAAACACTGAATTGGAAGAATATATGCACCCCTATGGTAATTGCAGCATTATTTACAATCGCCAAGATCTGGAAGCAGCCCAAGTGCCCATCAGCAGATGAGTGGATAAAAAAGCTGTGGTGCATTTACACATGGAATACTACTCGGCCATGGAAAAGAAGAAAGTCTTACCTTTTGTGACAGCATGGATGGACCTGTAGAGTATTATGCTAAGTGAAATAAGCCATTCGGAGAAAGACAAATACCATATGATTTCATTTATATGTGGGCCCTAATGAACAAATTAAACTAATGAACAAAAAAGAAACAGACTCATAGATACAGAGAACAGACTGACAGCTGGCAGATGGGAGGGAGGTTGGGGGGCTGAGTGAAAAGGGTAAAGGCATTAAGCAAAAAACATACACACACAACATAGCACCTCACAGACACAGACAACACAATGGTGATTACCAGAGGAAAAGGGTGGTGGGAGGAGATAGAGGGGGTAAACAGTGCCAGAGGGGACTAGACTTTGGGTGGTGAACACACAATACTATATATATATATGGTGTCCCCCCAAAATGTGTACACACACTTTGAATAATAATAAAGGCAGTGTTTAAATTAAAATTAAAATTAAGCTATCAACTGTTAAAATGTATCTGCATTTCTGGGGACACCCTGTCTATATATCGTATTATAGAACTGTACACTTGAAACCTATATAATTTTATTAACCAATATAATCTCAATAAATTCAGTAAAAACTTTAACCAAAAAAGAATAATGCATCTGCCTGTACTCCAAAAAGGTGTGAATTTGCAGATTTACAGAGACTTTTGCTTTGCTTTAAGTCAGTGGTTCCCAACCTTACTTTGGCCATGCCCTACTTAAGCATCTCTAAAATCCTGATGCCTCTCCCCAGCCCCCCGCGTGACTTATAATTCATATTACTCAAAAAGTGAGCTCCTATTCACGTGGAGGAAGCCTAAAAGGCCATTAACTTGGTCTAGACAAGCTTCCAAAGAACATGGCATCCATGAAAGAGAAAAATAAAAGAACAAAAGGACAGGTGAAGTACTAAGGAAGAAGAAATCACTAAAAAATCGTTAAAAAAATAATATAAAGTGATATGAAAAAATAGCAAATAAAGTTTCAAAACATATAATAGTGAACTGAAATGCACAATATATATTTATATACTGTCTCTGAGGCCCCTAGAACCATAAGAAAAAAATTCACTGTTAATAACGCATTTTCGAATTTCCCCCCTTAAAAATCAAATTGTCCCCTGTGGGGCATGTGCCCCATGTTGGGAACCACTGCTTTAAGCTGTTTCTTTGCACGGACCCAAAACATGATCTATAGATTGAAATGAAAAGCTGAGGCGAGAAAAATGATGGGGACATTTATAGTCAGAAATGTCCAGGTGAACTACAAATCCCGGGTGAGGTAGAATTAACCTGAGACTATTGGTGATGCTTATATTCAATTTAAAAATACAAAAATAATTCAAGAACCTGTTCATGCTTCTCACTAAAATAATGCTTCACGTTTTACTTGGCTTTTTCCAACAGTCAATGGTTTCCAGGCAAATCACTGTGATTTACTTTGGTCAGAGCTGGAGGTCTGTCCTCGTCATTGAAGTTTCCCCCCACTTGAGTTGGTTATCTGCGCTGGCACAGTGGGGAGGCGTGCGCGTCAGCAGCGGTGGCTGGGCTGGAAACTGAGTCATCTTGAGCGAATGTGGGGGAGACTGCAGGCCGTGGTTGCTTCCTTCCAGGGGCTTCTGTCTGCCTTGAAGTCGCTTCTTTAGGGAGGGGTTCAGTGGGGCACCACCTAGTCTCCAGCGTGTCATTGTCCTCTGACTTCAAAGTCCTAGCAACCAAAGCTACGTGGTGGCAGGGGTCAGCTAGGAAGACTGTGGTGTTCTGACCAGGCGTCCTGGGCCCTG